CTATCTTTTAATGTAATGCTACCAATTTTTAAAGACAGTGCACAGATTTTAGTGACGCCAGTTACACATACAAAGTCTTCAGCTATGAGAATTGGAGCATGAATAAATGGAATTTATTCAATAGAATTCAAGTCTAACTGGTTGTGTTTATACATGAGAAAGCAACATTGTTTTAAAAATTGGTAGCATTACATTAAAAGATAGGGAAATACTAAGGCTCAGGAAAATGCAAACTAAAAATGTTAATGAAGGCAAGATTTCTAAGTGTTGCCGACACAAATTAAAAGAATAATAGAATCAAGAGGGCCTAGCTCATTTTTTATAATTATTTTTCTCCTGAAGGAAGGTAAGAACAAAATGGCTGCAATTTGAGATGCAAACGAATATTTCATTGGAAGTGCTGTAATCATTTGTTTGCCCACATAAAAAATGCACGTCAAAAAGATATAGTAATGAATATTACTGCAAATAGCAGTATTTATATATTTTAAAGTTTATATCTTTAAATGGGTTTACAGCAGGGAATGTGCATTTTTAAAATGTTTACCGGGAAAATATACACGGGAAAAATGAGTGCTAGAGGATCTACATTGGAAAAATATTGGACAATTTATTCAAGGGCATAATTATTCATATTAGGGGAAAATATTCCAGTTTGTTAAAAAAAAAATAACAATATTTTTAAACCACAATTTTATAGCTTATAAAATGTGTGAACTGAGCTGCTAGTTTGTTCAATAATATATGATTATTTAAAACAAATCACAGTTGAAAGTAAGCAGCTGTTAAACTCAAATTTTCAAGCTCTCCCCTATTTTAATGAGCTACACATAGTCCTCAACTTACAGCCATTTATTTAGTGACCATTTGAAGTTACAATGGCATTGAAAAAAGTGACTTATGGCCATTTTTCACATTTGTGACCGGTGCAATATCCCCATGGCTACATGATTAAAATTCAACTGCTTGGGAACTGACTCATATTTATAAAGATTGCAGTGTCCCAGGGTCATGTGATCACCTTTTGGGACCTTCTCAACAAGCAAAGTCAAAGGGGAAGCCAGATTCATTTGACAAATGTGTTACGTGGACAACAAAACTCACTTNGTCGACCTTGAGCCGGTGAGATTTGAACCGCTGAACTGCAGATCACAGTCAGATAAAGTGGCCTGCAGTACTGCACCCTAACCACTGCGCCACCTGGGCTCTTATTTGAGCATTAAATATATGTTTAGATTTCATATAATTATGTATCCTGCTATAATGCAAAATTTAAATTGCCTTAATACAAGTTGTCTTAATGCAAGTATATTATTTTCAGCTGAATGGTTTTCTAGGCATCTTAATGTATCCTACTAATGTGTGGGTTTATCTTGCCATTAACTGTCCTTACACTTCCTTATAGATTTGACTGGGCAGGCAGATAGACACGTCAAGCCAGTAGAAGAGATATTACATTCTGTAGCTATTACAGCTGGACTGCTAGAAATTAATCAAACCTTCTGCCATAATATATAAATACAGTTCAAAACAAGAACTCTCCTGCTGCTGATACCGTAAAGCTGGTGCTAATATAAAGAAACATTCCTCTCCATCTGCAAAGGCCTGTATATGAAAGACAAGGGCAATTTTCTGTGAAAGATTCATCCAAAATGTTTAGCCCTTTCTATGTTTATTGGCAAAACGTTCACAAAATACGTTCTGCTACCTTGTAGTGTGTAAAAAAATGGGACCTTTGACTAAATTTAAAACTGATAAATTATATGCTAGAATTAGTTATCCATGAGCTACTTTTGCTATAGCTAAAGGTAATTTATTAGAATATAATCAATCCAGTGCTATTTACCAATGTCAAAGTATTGTACATGTTCTCTACCTCGTAAAGACTCTTTATATTCTATACTACATATGTATATCTAATTATTGTACCATCTGGCATATCTGTTATGATACAATAAAATATGTTTAATTTTCTTGCTAGCAAGCATAGTCTACCAACATTGCATTGAGACAAAATAGGTTTTCTTATTTGTCTTACGTACTGATAATCACTGCTGACTGTGCTTCTTTTGTAGATTGTAAAATATTTGCTTTTTGAAAGGAAGCACCAGCAAAGCATTACCTTTTCCTACTATGAACACTAATTAACTCTCCTGGCAATGTTTTTTACTGTGTATATTTTTGGAAACAATGGCCAAGCCACAGGTTTCCATGTATTACAATGGCTAATGTAAATTGCTGCATACAATCTTTTTAGAATGTTGGACTCTTAACTATTACTACCGTGTTTCCCCAAACACAGCGCTTGGTATTATTTTTGGGGAGATATTATTATTTTTGAGGTGCAGGAGGTGGCGAGCGTGGTCACCTCATGCCTGCTGCTGTGTTGCAATATTTTTGGGGAGGGCTTATTTTTTGGGGAAGGGCTTATTTTAGCGCATGCACTTAAAAGTCTGATTGGGCTTATTATCCAGGGAGGTCTTATTTTGGGGAAAACAGGATTATTGTTGTTAGTAATGAAAATGGGATAAAGTTCTTTATGTTAAAGCCATCCTATTTCAAATATGCATCTTCTGAATTCAGAGTCCAATCAGGGAGGAGATCTAAATTACTAACTGATGCCACATGTTGCAACTTAATTAAAATCTGAGATATAAAGTAGTCTATCTAGGATCATGAACCAATCCCATAAATCCAGGTAGAGCTATTTTCTATGTTA